TGGGATTTTAGGGAGCAGATACTGGAGCATTGTAAAAGTACCACATGCAAATAGTTTCTTTGCAAAATGTAGTCTCTACTTCTAATTCAGTCATATTTATACAGAGGTGGTGTAGATCTCAGTGTGATTATGTTTGGAAATTTTGAAATGGGAAATAATGAATATTGCGGGCTGTCTTTATTTATGTAGTTCAATATCCATGGATTCAAATAAGGGTGAATTGAAAAACATGAAATGTTTTCTTTTTCTGTATTGAAAATATACAGATATATTTTTTCATTTTACCCTAAATAATATAGTGCAGCAACTATTTGCAGAGCATTTACATGATATTAGTTATTGAAAATACTGTAGAGATGATTTTTTGATACATGACATTTCTAGATTGTATACATGTTATATATCAGTTTATATTGGGCTTTTGAATATTTTAATATTTTCATTATCTAAAAGGTTCATAGAACCAAGCCTTCTCAAATACTGAAAGACTACTATAGTTTGCTTTCAAGAGACACATGTTATAAAGATATTGATAAATGTATCCATATGTATGGCTACTACAGATTTTTGTTCAAGTTAGAGTAGGCACTGAGCAGCAGCACTGAAAGGAAAGCTAACTGATTTGACTGTTTTACATTGGAAAATTCAGAGGAGGGTTTCTTGGTGGAGGAAGGACTACATTCTTAAAAGAGAATGATGCCCCTCCCAAAAATCAGAGAATTTGGCTGACTATGATGATGGACCTAGGGAAACTTTGAGAGAGATACTTGGTGAAACATGTAGTATACATGTTTGAGATTTTAAAAGAAAATTAGATAACAAGTACTGTGAGAATTTATACTTCAGCGTTAAGCATTGCAGCACCTTTCATATTTATCAAAAGTCTATTGGAAATGATTCCATTGCTTTGTCACTGATTTTGCATGTTCAGCTGAATTCTATAATATGCTGAAAGAGTCATAGTGACTCCGTTTTATTGAATTATATGAATAACTAAGTTCACAGTGAATATCTTTTTAAAGGGCACAGACCAATTTTCTTGTTTTAAAAATTAAAATAGGTCTCCAAGTACGTGTATGTCATGCTCCCTCTTCAATTTTATTTTCGTATTATATGTGTGCCACAAATAGATCATGATAATTATTTGCTTATGTAATTAACTTACTTTTGGGTTTTTTGTATTAACACTTCATCTTCTGAGTTTCTGCAACTTACTTCTTTCAGTGTTTTGGCCCCGATCCAGTCTTTAGAGTTACCACTTACTTTTTATTTACTCCGTGATGGGAAACTCTATCTCAAATTAAAAGATTATGTCATTAAGAAACTGATGGTCTCTAACCGGGCATGGTGGCGCATGTCTGTAATCCCAGCACTCAGGAGCCTGAGTGAGACAGGAAGATCACTGTGCGTTCAAGACCAGCCTGGGCTACGTAGTAAATTCCAAGTCAGTCTCAACTACATAGTGAGACTCTGTCTCCAAAAAAACAACAATGAAACAAACAAACAAACAAAAAGAAACTGATGGTCTCTTTTCTCTGAGTAAATGTCTAATGACAGTTCAATTCACTACAGCAATGCTTTGTCTTCAGGATTTCTTGATTTTTGTTTTGGTCATTGATTTAGTCAACTGTGTATTGCTTCACAAGTATCTTCCTGTGTATATCTTGACCCCACGGCAGTGTCTTTTGCCGAGTACCGCTTGTGGTCCAATTATCTTACCGTGTTTTCTTAAGCACTCCTATTAGTAACTCTTCATGTGTCAACTCCCTCCCTCACCTTTATATTCAGAACTGCAGAAGGCCTTAAGGTGACTCATACAGATCAGGAAGCAGAAGCCAGTCCTTGGCACATCCTTTGCTCTTAATGAGAACCATGATTTGATTAATCAGATGGATGAACAAAAACTCATACCATGCCCAGCTGTATCACTTTATCATCTACTCCTCCCAATACTGAATCCATTTATAGAATTGGACCTCTGCCTTGGCATGTTCTCCCAATTTTCAAATTTGAACTATTGCCTAGATGACTGGTTTCCATCTTTTGCTTATTACTTTGGAACTTTGGAGGCCAATAATTACTTGAATAGTATCCAAATTACTAATTTTTTAGATTATATTCGTTTGCCCATTTGTCTATCTATAGTGAGACAAACTTCTGCAAATGTGATAATTTCCATATCACTGCCTGATTCTTGCTTTCTGAAATCCTACTCAGGCATTGTATAAAGTTGATTAGTATGTGAAATTAATCAGCAAAAACTTTCCCAAATCTTGTGCATCTGTCACATGACATTGTATTAACAATCTTAATTCTATATGTAGCATTGATTGGATACATGAGATATTCAGAAAATTGATCTCTGAATAATAAATGTTTAACTAATGTAAAATTTGTTCCAGAATTTCCCTCATTTTTAAAGTGGAAACTTATTGGAAAAAAATTTTTGTGAATTTAAATATAACAGTTGAGTCATAACTTGTATGATTCACTACAGCTAATTGTTGGGCCCTAATGTTTATTAATACATAATTACCTTCATATTGTATTTAAATTAGGTTGCTAAGATATCAAAGAAAAGGTTACTATGACTTAAATTTGTCTTCCATTGCTTCATGTGGTGTAAACTTGTTCCTAAGGATAAAGGTCCTGAGAGGTAGCTGCAGCAATTAAAAGGTGAGGCTTTGTGAAAGATAATTAGGTCAAGAAGAATCATTCTTGGAGAGATCAATGCCCACAGTTCTATGTTATTCTCCTGACTGGCTACAGCAAGTTGTTACTGATTGAATATTTTGTTTTAAGCAAAGTCACTAAATATATTTGACCCATATACCACTGGGCTCCAAAATCGTAAGCCAAAATAAACCACTTTTACACATTTTGTAATACAGCAACAGAAAATGGATTAATAGGGATATTATAGAAAATATAATTTATCAGTGTAAATTAAGCTTTCAGAGACTTTATTTCATGTTCTGAATTTTTATACTACTTCAAACACTTAACTGTGGTTGAATTTTATATTGAAAAGATTGGAATTTGAACTCAATATTAGCTTTTATTCCATGAGGACAGGTTCCAAAACTGCTCAGATGTAAGGTAAACAACAAAAATAAAAATCTTTGGGTGATGGAAATCTTGAGATGCAGTCTGTGTAAAAGATTTTCACATATACACAAGCGTACATATTCAGACAAAAATCAGAAGAAACTTCTTTAATAAACAAATGAGAATTTTATTAGTGAGGGAGAGAGGGTAAGCTTCCATATAATGTTATGTGATTCCTTGACTACTTAGAGAAGGGCAAATTTATAAGATACTGTTAATAAGATTATACTCTTAATTTCAAAATAACTGTGATTTTATTAGTACCCTCAATCTTCAGAATCAAAAGAAATAACATTATTACATTTGGAAGCAGAGACAGAAGGCTATGATTTAAACCACAGAGGATTTTGTGATGACAACAACACAATTAAAATTTCCTATGAAACATATTATATGGGCTACATAGGTAATATACTAAAATGTTATTTGATTAAACAGATACACAATGTTTATATCTGAAGGCATAAGTCTGACACAAATTCACCTAATTGAATATTTCAGTCTTTCTCCCAAATTCAGTAACAATCTGGAATTCCTTAAGCCAGAGTTCCCTTCAGAAAAAATTATTCAAAATTAATTAATGTTATATTAGAAATTTCTCCCTGTTCCATCTGCATTGCGAAGTAGGTACACTTACTATATCAATAGGACAATATAAGACTATCCATACTTTAGTCAACACGTGATTCATATTGATATTTCCCTAAATACTAATAGCATAACTGTAGCCTACTACAATGAACTTCAGCTTTATGAAGTAACAAATGGATCTAAGCATTCTACATGAGTATATTCTTACTTCCATAATCAATGTGCCATTTATTTTCTCCTTCTTGAAGAAGAATAATTATTTTGGTGAACAGGAGATTCTACATATTTTTTCTCCAAATCTTAGAATGATGGCTACTGTGGTAGATAAAACTAAATGAAAGCCTTTTTAATTATTTTTAGCAGAATGGTAAATTTTTAAAAATGCCACATCACTGGGTGAATTCAATAAGTGAATGCATTTAACGCTCACACATGCACACATATACATCAGTCAATATACTTTTAATCACACTCTCACTTTATACATTTAGTGTATGTAGATATTTGGTAAGCTTCAAATATGACTGTAAATTGTAAAACTTAACTTTACCATGATATGTTTGTTAGCTGCCATTTCAGGTGTAATATTTTCACTAGTACAAGACTTGTACAAGTAAATATGAGGGTATTTACCTAGCAAGTGCACTTTGCATTGTACTACTTAAGAAGGACCACTAGAAACCCACTTTTTAACCTGAAAAAGAAAGCAATGCATTTTTGTGGATTTGCCTCAGGTCTATATTATTATTTCATATATGCAGATAGCAGGGCAAAGGTGAATTTCTTGATTTAAGAGATGATCTGTTTCATTGGAAGCAACGGATTGCTGGGGTAGCTTGAGAAGGAGGTAGTAGCAAGCAAATTAGTGATTAGTTATTTCATGGGCATGCTAAAAGTTGAGAAATGAACGTCATGGTAATTTAGGGTCCAGGCACTAAGTGACATATCCAGGGATCTACTAGTCTAAAGTGCTGTTATGGTACCTTTCTAAATTAGAATATAACATTGCTATCTCCACAACCTGTCACATTAAAAAATGTGTAACACTTGATTGAGACCCTTACATTTCAGAAGAAGTATAGGCTCTATTCAATGAATTTTTAAGGCTGCAGGTTTTCAGTGGGAACCTGAGGGAAGAAAAGCTCTGTAACAATTCCAGGGCAGATTGCAAGCTTTCTTCCTTAAATAGTCTTCATTACCCAGCAGGATCCATTGTGCTGTCATAGTTGGTTTCAAACAGTTATGTCATAATAAAACTTTGAAAAGCCCCAAAAGAGGATTCATACTGGAGATATCTTGGCATCTGGGCTCTTCCTCAGGTGTATGTAGCTTGCTATCAGGACAGAAATTTAATACCTATCCTTGAGATGTAAAGTGCTTATTTATGTGACTCAAAGTGTTGTTTTTAAAGTAATTAAAAATTCGATACATGCTTTACACTGAGTATGAGTAGTTCATCTGGAAGAGGTAAGTTTTATGAATATGTTTCTTAATCTCACCACAGCTTTCTACTGTTCTTCCCGAAATCATGTATTTCTTCTCATGTGAAGTGTTTTGAATATTTGTGAGATTTAAAAAAATAAAATCTGAGTTCTTTGCAATGTTTTTCACCTCAAATGAAAATAGGATACAAAAGCAACAGAGGCATCCATAGAAGGCACTAGTGAACTCAGCACTATATCTATTTCCCTTTATTGTCTGAAGAGAGAATTAGTCAAAAACATACTTTTGCATTTATTGTCTGGAGGAAATATTTTAGCTCAATAATAGGAAAGAACTGAGTAAGAAGTTCATAATATCTCTGAAAAGTATGCCTGGAGTTCTGGATTGATATTTGGAGAAAGGACTAGAATACACATATGTTAGTATTCTAGTACATAGTACACACATGCATATATACAGAGTGAAAAGCTATAATTAAAATATTTTATATCACACATAATCAAATAACTTAATATATATTAGTACATTTATGTCCTTTACTAAAATTATATCTATCAGCTCATAACATTTACTTCACTATTTCTACTACTAATAAATCTGTTGGGTAGAGAACACATTATATATTGGGTTTTTTTCCTGAAAAAATTTCAAATTTAGTTGGGAAATGTATTTAATAGCATAGAAATTATGTATATTTTATGTTTTCATGTATTTATTATTATTTATTATATATATAATATATGTATAAATGATATGGTGTGAAATATAAATGTGAGGTAAAGAATAGGATATAATCACTAGCCTAGGCTTTGTAATTTACTCTTGTTTGAGGGGGGTACCAGGGATCGAATTCAGGTCCTTGAGCTTGCAAGGCAGCAACAGCACCAATGAGATAAATCCCCAGCCCTGTAGTTTACTTTTTTATTTGAATTTGACATCTTTAAAGAGCTATTTGAGAAGACATTGAAGAGCTGTCCTTGTGGAGACCCATTTTGAATATGTGATAGGAAATATTAGTCTATTTTTTCCTACACTGTCTTAGTTTATTAGTATAAATCATTGTTAGATATTTAGTGCATTTATTGTTCATTTGTAATATTCACAAAATATGAGTTTTAAAGTTTTTTAAAGTGCTAATTTTGCCAACTACAAAGATACTAGTTCAAACACTGTTAATTGGATTAATTTAAAGAAAGTCCTTAATAAGTTGAACAGTTATAGATATGACAACTGACTCTGCCACTGGTTGGTTAGTTACAAGATCATCTTATTCACTATGGTTCATAATTTCATAAAAACTCAGTTTTATCATTTGCCATTTAGGGACAATAAAAGCATTTTTACAGAAAAATGTGTTTGCATAAAATAGCATATTATATAAAAAGGACATATAAATCCTTATTATCTATATACTGACTCTGGCAAAGTCTTTTCATTTCTAGTCACTTTAGATATTGTGTGCTACAGTTAATTTGCGTGTTTGTTTGAAGATGATGAACATTTACTTAAGCATAAATCATATTATCAGTCATGCATTATACACATCATATGTTTAAAGATGTTTGAAGACTTTACAATAACTGTAATTCACAATTCTTTTTATTCTACCAATTTATCTCAATTCAAACTTATTTTAGCATAGTTTATTTATATATTATTTTCTATGCATTGAATTTCTGTATTTAAACTGCATGTGGGATCAAGCTGTGCTTTCAATTAACTCCAAAAAAATTTTCCATTTGCAACAGCAAGGAGTCCCATCACAGAGGGTAATATCCTCAATCTGTTTTTCGTCTTATAATTACACAAGAAATCTACTAACAAAGACATGCTCACAAGAGACACAATCCAGTATAATCACACATAGATGCAGCTCAGTTAAAATGTCTTGCTTTTGATTATCTAAATTTTTAAATAGATCTAAGTCCTTTTGGTATATTTCAAGCAAAGTCTAAGAAGCATTTAAGAAACATATGTACAACTAAGCCTTTCATTTTGCTTTGCCTTAAATGATGATTTTCTTTTCTGGTATGTGTTGCTCTTTGTGAAATGTGGTAGTAACATACACTGGCTCTAGGAGCCTGGCTTTTCATCCTGTATTCATTTAAGATAAACAGAATGCCATACAGCAGGTTGCTCAATGTTTCTGGTTGATAATTTTATCATATTTAAATGGGAAGAATAATAGCAACATACAATGGAATTCATATAATTTTAAGAAATTAATTTATGATTCCTGAGTAAAATATTTAATAAGTACATATTGATTATGAATATTTGATCACATATATTTCTTCAAGTACATGAAGTTTCCACTCCTTTATGAGCTTAAAAACATAGATATTAAAAGTGCCAATACAGCTTTGAAGTCATATGTAGTATATTAATTACTAAAGTCACTCCATTACTAGAATATCTCAACTTAGTGTTTCTTTGTAGCTTTTTTTTTTTTCCTTTAGGGTACTAGGGACTGAACTCAGGGCCTTTATACTAATAATGTACATTCTCAGCCCTTTTTGCACTGTTTTTTTTTTAATGACAGGGTGAATCTAAATTGGACAGACTGACTTGGAACTTGGTTTCTTCTTCCTCTACCTCCTGCGTAGCTGTATTTGCAGGCAATTGTCACTGTGTCTAGCTTCTCTATAACCTAAAGCACACTTCTCAGTTTGGCCAACGTATCATTTATTTGAAATATTTTATATTCATCATTCTTTCTTGGGTAGCCTTCTCCTGTTGATAATTTTTAAAAAAAGTCTTAATTTCCCCCAAACACAATTTTTAGTCTTTTGTGTTATTTTTGTGTATTAGTCACTTTCCTTTCACTGGGATAAAATCGATGGCACCAAGATTAGGAATTTTTCTTGGCTCATCATTTCAGTGTTTTTATTCCATGGTTGGTAGAGTCCAAGGCAGAAACAGAACGGCAGATAGATATAAAGGAAGAAACCCGTTCAAACCATGATGGCCAGAAAGCAGAGGGAGGAGGGATGAGCTGGAAATGAGAACACATCCTTTCAGGTCATACCCCAGGCCATAAAGTATGCTCAGCTATGAACTATTCAATTAATTAATTTTTGATAACTACAGCATCGCCAAGATCTAGTTACCTTCCAAAAGCCCAAGTCTAAATACAGGAGACTTTAAGGGGAGATTTTAAATCTAAGCCATACATTCCATTCCTGGCCCCCAAAAGGTCATGTGCATCTCATCTTTAAGAGTCCCGAAAGTCAAAAGAGTTCCAGAATTATTGAATAGTCCAAGTCTAAATTCTGCTCTAAAATTCCAGCAAACTCTAAGCTGTCAGCTCCTATAAAATGAAACCAAAAGTTGAAAATACCAAAAATGCAATAGCATAAAGTAAACATTCTTAGTTCAAAAGGGGGAAATAATAGGAATTAAAATATTGACCAAAGCAAAAGTAAATGCTTGAAGGAAGCCATTGACTTCTGTAGGTCTATGACTAGCACTAGGGCAGATTGTGAAAGATGGGGGCTGCAAAGAGAGTGACCAGCCCCAGAACTACTGCCTTATGGTTGCACTTCACACTTGGTCTGGCCCTGATCACTGGCTGCAGATTTCCTTTGAAGACAATACACATTACTGGCATCTCCAAGTTCCTGGAATTTTTATGGTCCCTTTGGTTTCACACGCACAGCTTCATGCATCACCTAGTCTTTCAGCCCTTCCTTTGAAATCTGGTAGAAAGCTACCTGAACCCAAATCTCTTGCATTCTGCATGCATAAAAGATCAGCATAGCCTTAATGATGTCAATGTTTCCCTCTAGCTTAAGAAGTAGCCAGGACCCCATGGACCATGGCTATAACAGCTTTTAAGAACTTGGATATCTGAACTTGGGGATATGCTTCCATCTAGGTGAGCAGGGTACCCTGGTGATTTCTTCTCAAAGAAAAATATTCAAAAAGTTTACTGTTATATAGCCTTCATCCTGAGATGGGAGGAATCTGGCCAAGTCCTGAGATGCAGTCAAGTCATTTTTCCTACTGCTCCAGTGCATAATGATGGCCTTCATTTTAATGGCATAAAGTTTTTGAGCAAAATCATTCTCCTTTGCTATAAGTATACATGCACTTCCTTATTTGCTGAGGTACAAAATTTTTACATTTTAAACTGTCATTTGCTCCTCAATCTCATTGTATTTCTGGGCAGAGTATCTAGAGGTTCCCATGCCATGAATACTGAGCTGCTTTGATGTTTCTTTTGCAAGATTAATTAGTCCATTACATTTAAATTCAGTCTCATGCAAAGTATTAGGACAAGGATAAAAGGTAGACCTAGTCTTTGCTAATGTAAAGCATATGTGACCTCTGTAATTTCCAATAGTCCTTGTTCCCAACTAAAGCCTCATAAATCTTGTCTTTATTGTCTGCTTTCTTATCTGCATTTTGCTCTCCTTAGCTCTGACAATTATCACCCATCGTGCTCTGCTTATAACATTTTGTGGATTCTCTAGTCTGCATCTCCAACATTTTTCAAATTCCTCACACAAACCAGTTTCAAAGAGTTATGAATTATGTGGTCAGGTAGAGTCATACCAAAAATAGCACTTTTCTGTTAGCAGTACTCTGTCTAGGTTACTTTCCTGTTGCTAAGACAAAATACCTGAAACTATAAATGAAAGCAGATGTCCATTAGGCTAATGGTTTTGGTGGGTTCAGTCCATGTTTGGCTGACTCCAAAGCAGAGACTGCACTGTGGAAAGTCATGAAAAGCAGCTTAATCTTCGTGGCAAGAAAGCACATAGATGAAGGAAGGGAAGAAGGTGGGAATACACCCTTACATGTAATGACGCAGAGACCCATGTTCTCTACTCTGCTTCCACCTAATTATTTTTCAAAACCCACACTTTTGAACGTATGAGATTTTTAGGAGACATTTTAGTTCCAAAACATAGCGTTTCGTTTAGGATGAGCTACAAAACTTTAGTTTGGAAAATTATCACTCCTTTCTTCAGGCTTCTGTAACACTGTGATAATTTCTGATCATGTTCTTAAATAAATAT